ACAAGTATCTGTACTTTTATTCAAGTACGGAAAGTGAGTACTTTTGCCATCTCTGCAGGTTAGCATCTTTTAGCTCGGTCAGTTAGCCACATATGAAGCTACATTACTTTTAAATTTGTATCAACAACAACTGTTTGTTTTCTACAAGTAAAATAATAGGATGTCCCATTTGTCCTCATATCTTAATAAAAAGAATAAAAATAAGCTAAGACTTTTTTTTTCTTCACCTGGTTAAATAACAGATCTCAGGCTTAGAAAGCAGTACTTTCCTTCAACAATGATTGTTTTCTACTTTCGGCTACTTCCGATCACCAATGAAATGTGAAATAATAGCATATTTTGGTAATAATGTGTCGAGACTCCAAAAGAGATCCGATCGGGTGCAACACGGTTTGTCCGAGTGGAGTTGCCATATGTTGACATCATAAGAAGGGGCGGGGCCCAAGGCAGATCTGGTACCTACACCGCCTCTACAATGTATTAAGTCAAAGTTCTGCTACAACAGGGAAAGAAGTAACTCTAATCTAATGCTTTTTAATGCTCTTAGAAATAACTTTAATGCCTTCAACAAGTACTCTCATGACTACATGACTCTTTCTGAACATAAGGCTTTACGATCAACCGGAAGCAGTTCCGCGCAAATATATATATTGCGATATAATATATCAGAGGAACTTGTTTTTATAAACTTTTTTTTTATGTAAATTAAGGATTTTAAATGCCATGGTAATCACATTTAATTAATTTTAATGCCAATTAAGGCCTTTATTTTAAAAAAATCATAATTTGATGACTTTTAATGATTTTTTATGACCTGCAGAAACCCCGTATAAAGGGCAAACATGTAATAAATACTTATAGTAGCTGTGTTATTTTAAAACATGTGAATGTAAACTACTCTTCTGCGCATTTTGAATCTTTAAAGTCCGCTCATATTCAGAATTCAAACTTCTGAAAGTACTTTAAATATGAAATTATTACATACTGTTTAATAAATGATAAGTGTGTTAAATTAAGAGTAATTTTAATTTGAATGTTCTTTACTGGAGGCATCCATGTTTGTCAAAGAACACTACTGCCACCTAGCGATTTGTGACATCATGGTGCATCCAACGACGAACCCGTCCGTGGAGGATCACGAATTGGCAAGGTGAAATAACTAATTTTTTTTCCACTTTCATCCGATGTATTCAGAATAATTTGACATTTAAATAATACTTCCCTATGATTTTAATACTCAGAGCTCGGTAAACGCTCCACTGGAAGCTGTCGATCCTGAGAACAGACAAGACTGCTCTCTGTCTTGTCTGTTCTTGTGAATTGGAACAGTACTAGGGCTGAGGCTGACGACGTTTCACAAGTACACGAGCACATGAGAATACACAAGTACACATCTAGAAATGGCAAATGAGTTGAATTCAGCCATCTCTGTCATCAACTTGCAGCTTTCTAAACACAATGCTGGACATAGAAGATAAAATGCTTTGCAGTAGCAGCGAACTGATTAAAAATGTAAATGTTCGTGTTCATCTATAAGCAAATTTATTTAATCCTCATTTTCCTTTATATAAACAGTGAAGCTAACGTTAGCTTAGCTAGTTGCAAATTTAACTTTAATCATTTTAGAGCATTGCTGTCAGGATGCATTCATCACCGAGTTAAAACTCGTTCATTTAATGATGACTTAATTTAACCTATTTTTAAACCTTTAACAGAGCAGCCATTAGCCTGAAGATTAAGATGTGTGAGTAAAACCTTCAGCAAAATGGTTCATGTTTAGGAAAACGATCCCAGCTGTCGGTTTTAGAGTGAAGCACAGATCTCTTGTAATTTGGTTGCACTGATGTCTTCTAGCTACAGATGGGAACCAGCTCCTTTTGTGACATGGAGCAGCTCTAGCAAACAAATCTACGCCTCGTTCAGCTCCTCTCATCCCCCGCCTCCAGACTGACTGACGGTTGTGCTTGTGTTTGAAATGCTGGCCCATGGAGTCGGTAGCTGTTAGGCTCTGTGTTTTTTCCTTCTCTCACCATGTTCCTTCATGCACCTCTTCACTGCACTGAAAGGACTTCAGAGTACAGTAGGACACTTAAAGACAAAAGACAAACAAAAACACTGGTATGCACGCGTTCACACTCCAGAGTGGGTGCAAACGGGAGGGGGGCGGCCAGCCTCTTCATGTCAGTTGTTCTCGAACAACGCTAGCAGGTCGTCGTTGCTGTTGTTCGGGAGGTCGGGGGGTCCCAGGTAAGACAGCAGCTCATCTGGGTTGGTCAGCTCAGGAAGGAGCTGGAGGACAAACAGAAACCAGGTGGAGTTAATAGACCTGCTTTACCATTCTGGTGAAGTATTCTAACCTTCAAAGACTCCAAGTTCAGATATGTAGAAATGATAAATATAACACAATCTGAGAATATTTTAAGATTGTCTGAGGCATTATTCTTTTAATGGGCAAATAACCGAGAAATCAAAAATCAACAATAATAACAAT